ATATATTTACATTATATATATATGTATATATATATATATATATATATATATATCTGTCTCTTATACACATCTAGACTTAATGTATTTATAATCTATCTACATAATTCACAATGTTAAACCGGGCTATTAAGACGACAAACTACTGTCGTAATTACTTATTTGAATGATCATTATGGGTTAGCATTGAAAACATTAAACTATGTACTCCGGGTAACATAAAATGAACCTGGGTCACCAGAAAGGCATGTTGTTTTCATTGTGATGTCATCGTGTGTCAAAAAACAGAATATTTTGTGTATATAAATAATTGGTGAACTTACCTATAATTGGGAAAGTGCCGTCGGAGGCAGGGGGAATACTCGCAAATACCAGCTGATTAAATACGACAAGAGAGAGCATAACCGTAATGGCTGTCTCTTATACACATCTAGATGTGTATAAGAGACAGTATATATATAGTTAACGTGTGAGTGGCATTAGTAATTCCAGTGTTGTGTGTCGACATGATGGTTATAAGAACAAAAGTCTGGATTAGTTTTTAATCTGCCTAGCTATTGTGCATGGGTTTTGTCATTAATTTATTTTTGTCTCTTACCAAGAAGACACTAGTAGGCCTAATTAAATTTCTAAAGTAAATAACAAAATGGAATGTACATTTACATCGAATCAGAATTTTTTGATCGGAAAGGCTACCGAACCGATCAGAAAATCGAATAAGTATGTAATGAATGGACGTTTCCTTCAGCACATTGGAAACGCGGTCTGAATTTTGTTTCGTATCCGTTGTAAATGCATGTTTAGCCTATACGTGTTTTGGACTAACCTCTAATCCCGTATTTAAGAATGCAACTGATTCGATACCATTTGTTGACAGTATTCCCTAAATTAATCAACCAAAATATTAATTAAAATGAACACCTGTGAGCGTAAATTACATAGGCCTAACCCATATCAATTGACCACACATAAACCCAAATACAGCACATTCTATATTATTACCCTTTATGCCTATAGGCAATAGGCCTATGTATACATATTAAATAGTCACAACATAATCGTCACTTCAAAACTTTCAATAGGTTGAAATGAAAGTAAGAGTTTCGCCTATAATAAACAACATATTGTACCTTCTTCTGGAATACGTAGTTCAGTCTTGATGAAAGGGTGGCAGATTCTCAATGATCATCGTGTGTTTACCTTTGGTGCTCCTAGTTTTTATATAAAGTAATAAGTGACCCTTATTGAAAAGGGCAACAGAATATTGAGTATGAATCAAAAAGCCGGTTGGTCGGCGAATCGATATTAGACAATTTTAATCAATTCTAAACCAACTCTAATCACAAATCTTTACCCTAACCTTTTCTTTAATTTAGCACCAATCCTATATAGGCATTTCTAACTGTTGATCAGTTGAAATTATGATAAAGACTGTTTTATATTATTTTGTTTTCATAACTAAGACAGTCTTATGATTTACATGTAAAATAGTTACCTGCAGATTTTTACCAACTGCAGGTAAGTTTATTTGCAATCTTCTTCTGACCCCACGCCTGACAAAAGCATTATCTGAAGGAAGAATAAAACATAACTGAGATGAATTTTGAATGAATGAATATTAGATCAGTTGATTAATATAATAGTTTGGAATTGGTGGTTAAGATGCTTGCCTTTCGATCCCTGGGTCATGGGTTCAATTTTCGACAGTGTTGCAGGATCTACCAAAACAACCCTAAGCCTCATATTGAGATTTAGTTTGTGTATGAAGCATCGTTTGCATATGTGTTTCTTATAAAAGGTATTGTCATCTAAAAGTAGGAACGTTATATTTTCGCTATTGGCACAATCCTTGGCGCATGTGTGGGTGTTTGTGAGTGTGTGTGGGTGTGTGTGTGTGTGGGTGTGTGTGTGTGTGTGTGTGTGCTTACCAGGTCGTATTAGGAAATAGGCCCCATTAATTTGATTTGGTTTGGTAAACTTGGTTTCATTTTTTAAATATTAAAATAGAATGACAAACCTCTGATTGTTCTCCAATATTTCAAAACAGGGTAACACGTTTTTCCAGACCCAGTTGTCAGCTCCCATCTCAGCCCACGTGTCAAAATCTACGGGGTATCCTCTAACGTACACCATGTTGTTAATGCTACTCGACCCTCCCAAAACCTGTAAAATGTTACAATGTGTATCTTGGCAGCTTAAAATCACTTGATTGTAATAAAAAATATAAAGTATATTGAAAACATGATAGCGAGAGTTTACAGGTTTGAATTTCGTTACATTTTTGCATGCAAATGGAAAGGGAAGTCTTCGTTGAAGGACTGCTTATTAAG